AGAGAGAGAGAGAGAGAGAGAGAGAGAGAGAGAGAGAGAGAGAGAGAGAGAGAGAGAGAGAGAGAGAGAGAGAGCATTGACAGTGCTGCCAGTCTGAAGACTCTGAGGTTCTAAATTGAACTGCAAAGCTCGAACTTTTAAGTTATATATGAAGTTATGAACTTAAATTATTAAATCCAAAGTTCAAAGTTCAAAGTCAATCATACGTTTTTGTTTTTTTTAATTTTCTGTCTCTTTAGTCTTGTGCCTGCTTTGCACTGTTTGCAACTCTACATGTCTGCTGGTTAAACGTGCTGGTTGATTTGCTACAAGACACGTGCTCTGCTGCCTGAACTGCAGAGTGCAAAGCAGGTAATGCCTGCCAACACCCCCACCCAACCTCCTCCCCACATTTTTGCAGCCCGGGGACCGGTCCGGACTGTCCGGTGTCCGGTGATGTCCAGTGTCCAGTGATGTCCGGATCACCGGACAGTCCGGACCGGTTGTCGGGTCCTAGCCGCCCCTCGAAAAATAACAGGGTGATTTTTAAGTGTCCTTTCACCCCACCGGACATGGCCTAGAGGTCCAGGCACAAGACACTGCAGGTTTTTGAGGTGGCGGGTTTCGCACAGGCCCGAGCAATTTCAAAGCGGCCGTTTCGACGTGGCGCCCGCCGCTCCTGCCCGTTAGGGGGGGGGAGGAGAGAGAGAGACAGTGATGCCAGTCTGAAGACTCTGAGGTTCTGAATTGAACTGCAAAGCTCGAACTTTTAAGTTATATATGAAGTTATGAACTTAAATTACTAAATCCAAAGTTCAAAGTTCAAAGTTAATCACACGTTTTTTTTTTTAATTCTCTGTTTCTTTAGTCTTGTGCCTGCTTTGCACTGTTTGCAACTCTGCATGTCTGCTGGTTAAATGTGCTGGTTGATTTGCTGCAAGACACGTCGTGCTCTGCTGCCTGAACTACAGAGTGCAAAGCAGGTAATGCCTGCCAACACCCCCACCCAACCTCCTCCCCCCCCGGGCCTGTTTCTCCCCCATCCACCCGCTTCCCCACACGAATTCTCCTCCCATCGCGCAACACCCCCCACTATGCGCCCAACTCCGCCAACCGCCCCCCGCGCCATGACTCCCCTCCCCCCCACGCCCCAACTCTCCGACTCTTCCCCGACCTTTCTCCCTACTTCCCCTCCTTTCTAACCCCCCTACTTCCCACAATCCCCACCCGCTTTCCCCAGTCACCCCTCCCAATCCCGACAGTTCCCACCTTTCCCCGGCCTCGATCCCACCTGGTTCGCACCCAACCGCGATCACGACCATCCCCCTGATCCCGATTCCCTACCCAATCCCTCGCGCGCACGTGCGCGCGATTTCA